AAATTTTATCTAACGAAGAAATTGTACGTTTAGAATCTATGAATATATATAAATATATAAATATATATATATATATATATATATATATATATGTGTGTGTGTGTGTGTGTGTGTGTGTGTGTGTGTGTAAGACTGTTACATTTTTTGTTATTGCATGCGTTAAATACTTTTATATATCTAACGAAGAAATTGTACGTTTAGAATCTATGAATATATATATATATATATATATATATATGTGTGTGTGTGTGTGTGTGTGTGTGTGTGTGTGTGTGTGTGTGTGTGTGTGTGTGTAAGACTGTTACATTTTTTGTTATTGCATGCGTTAAATACTTATATATATATATATATATATATATATATATATATATATATATATATATATAATATTTTGGACAATCCTTGGTATCTTCTCCCAAATATTGCATACTGAATCAGTGAGCTAAGCTCGTGCATTCTTAATTTTAATTTTAAGAATCATATCACTCGGAGACGTTTATTATACAAATAATAATAATAGAGGTGAAACTTTGGAAGAATAACCAGGGATCGAGTCTCACCAGCGGCAGTGTGGGAGCAACCTCTCAAAGTGAGGGGGACTCCTTGTGCGCAGTGAGCACCGGTCTAGCCTCTGTGGTTCATGTTCAGTTGAGTCACCATGATTTACATCCTCCCAAATGCTCTGTCGGGCCGGGGTGTGAGGGCCCTTAGGGTTGGGATTCAGCCTTTTGAAGAATAATAACTTTTGTTATACTTTATGAGCATATATATTGCTAGCTTTTAATGAAAGTTTTTTTTTTTAGAACCGTTAATGAAAGTTTTAATTACGCACTAATTGTATGTTTATTTTATCTAACGTACGAACCAAAAAAAAAAAACATTTATATTGCAAAAAGAACATAAAATGTTCAATTTAAGACATTTTTCATTAATATAATCTCAAACAAAGTATTTTAAGTCAATTAAAACTTGAATTCTTGATCAATCATGAGCACTAAAAATCTACACTACATATACGACAATAATAGTAATACATCCAAGCTAGAATTTCACATCAAATGATGAGGTGTAGTTTCTTTCTGCAAAGCAAAAGTTTACTAGCCTTCAAAATAAGAAAGAAAGATATTTTCCCAATTTAATTAGTGTAAATACTTTGAAGCCACGTCTCAAAATTGATTGGAGTTTAACAATTCTAAAAAAAAAAAAAATTTCCCTACATCACCCCAACTGCCAATTCCCCCAATTGATGAAGATTATGGGGAAAAAAAACTTCCACATTAGGTTTTAATTAATTAACTAAAACATTGCAATATGAAAAGGGAAAATGTAATCACTTGCTAAGTTATAAAATATTTTAAGATAACTCCAGCTAAGTTGAATGCTTATTATGAAATTGTGAGACGTCGAAAGATCTTTGAAGAGATGAAAAAAGTCCTTGCTATAATTGAAAAAAAGCCCTTGCCTAAAATAGGTTTCATTGGAAAAATCATCAAAAATATCAAATTTGTTCAAAATATGAAAACTTGGGGTGTAAAATGACAAAAATGATAGTCTAAAATCAAATTTAAAATTGCCACAAAAAACAAGAGACATCTGCTCAAATTAACTCAAAAAATATAACTTTGAATTCACAGTCAAAAATTTCGACCACTGAAAAAGTGGTTGGAAATTCTACCACTTTGATGATCAAAAAGTATGTTTTTTTGGATGTTTTAATTTTTTGCTAACTCGAGGCCTATGGTTAAGTTAGAGAAGACCTATGTCATCTCATCTATTTTTTTTTTTTTTTGATAAAAACGGAGGGTGATACCCAAGAGTCATGAGTGTCTACTGAAAGTAGCTCCTAGAATATCTTGCTTGAGAAGATCATCTATCTCCGGAGGTGCTTCCTTGAGCGTACGACAACCCACTGGATTTGCAAAGGCTGCCTTCGCCAGAAAATCAGCTACCATGTTTCCCTCACGTGACACATGCACGTATTTCACGTGCGGAATACCCTCAGCTTCCCTTATGCACCGCCATATGATGTTGCATACTTTGGTACCTGTCTTTTGATTCCTGTGTATCCTGTCAATGAGCTGCTTAGAGTCACTTTCTACCATGAGCTTCTGTATGCCTTCTTGCCTTGCCAGGCGTAGACCGTGGAACACTCCCCATGCTTCCGCTTCGAGCACATGACACCGCCCGATGTTGGACGAAAAACCTGCACACCAAATTCCGGCTTCATCTCAGATCAGGCCGCCACATCCAGCCGTCCCTTGTCCTTTGCAGCTACCATCAATGTTAAGTTTATGCCATCCTCTATCCGGTTTCTTCCATCCAGCCTGCTCATTGGCCGTCTGCATGGCCCCAGTCCCCGGGTGTAAACGTTTGTTGAAAGCCCCCTTGACTTCCACATCGTACTTTGCGAGCCACTCGAGTTTTTCCTGCATCCTCAGAGAACGGTTATTAAAAATCCCTTCATTTCTCCAACGCCATATCCACCACATCCTCGCCCCAAAACGGGTTTGCCAATCTTTATCAAAACCATATCTTATATTGCCGGCAAGGTTGACTTCTAACCACTGGTCCCAAGGAAGGGCGTTCAGCTTCGCATACGTGCTTCTGGGGATGACTGCTTCCCAGAGACCCGTCACCGCCGAACAGTCTCGAAATAAGTGTTGCAAGTCCTCAATCTTACCTGCACAAAGGAAACAAAAAGGGTCATCTATTAATTTTCGTCTGGCTCTTTCTGCATTCGTCATAACCTTTTTATGGCGTACTAGCCACAGAAACAGATTAACTCGTGCAGGAGCACGAATTCTCCAAATGCGTCTCCACATCTCATCAGTAGGGTAGCCGTGATTATCCACCAGGGTATCATACATGGAACTATAGTAAATTTACCACTGATCTCTAAGCCCCATCCTGGTTCATCGTCCATATCCAATGTCGTTAAAACTTTCCCCGCTAGTCTTTCCATGGCTTCATATGTTAAGGCATGCTCTAATAACTCCCACTTCCATCCCCTTGCCTCATCCCAGTAGTCCCGAACCATACCATATAATTCTGGCAGAGGAAGAGGCGTCTTGAGCTGCCCAAACAGTGGTTCCGGGAAAATCCACTTGTCCATCCAGAAGCGTGTTGTAGCACCATTTCGGACCACACATGAGACTCTTTGGGACCACATTAGGTTTTAATTAATTAACTAAAACATTGCAATATGCAAAGGGAAAATGTAATCACTTGCTAAGTTATAAAATATTTTAAGATAACTCCAGCTAAGTTGAATGCTTATTATGAAATTGTGAGACGTCGAAAGATCTTTGAAGAGATGAAAAAAGTCCTTGTTATAATTGAAAAAAGCCCTTGCCTAAAATAGGTTTCATTGGAAAAATCATCAAAAATATCAAATTTGTTCAAAATATGAAAACTTGGGGTGTAAAATGACAAAAATGATAGTCTAAAATCAAATTTAAAATTGCCACAAAAAACAAGAGACATCTGCTCAAATTAACTCAAAAAATATAACTTTGAATTCACAGTCAAAAATTTCGATCACTGAAAAAGTGATTGGAAATTCTACCACTTTGATGATCAAAAAGTATGTTTTTTTAGATGTTTTAATTTTTTGCTAACTCGAGGCCTATGGTTAAGTTAGAGAAGACCTATGTCATCTCATCTATAACCCATGACTTTCCCATAAACTAATTTTATTTAATCATCTAAATAATCAACATATTTTAGTTTTCAAAATTTTCAATCAACTTTCATTTTTAGTTAATTTCCGGATTAGTTATAGTACGTCTAAATCATTTCTTTAGTTCAATCCATCATTATTATAAAGTATGGAAAGTACACCGTTAGATGTAACTGAATTTGTCTAGACAATTAAATAGATTTGTAAGGAATATTAGAATGGTATTTAAATTATTTTAAAATGTTAAAATTAGTTTTGACTTTTAATTAGATCATATTAAGTCCATTATATAGTTTATAGAGTTTGCTTTGTTAGCAATTTAATTTGCACGTTCGAATTTTATCAAGAATCCAAAAAGAAAGGTATAAATTTAGTCTTATTGTAGGCATTATATTAATGTACAAACATTTGAAGATTAATAACTCACTTAAGCTAAGACATATTCCGTGATTTATTTTCTCCACCTTCAATTCAACGTACGTCTTCAGGACCTTATATTAAGTCTTTAACTATGCATTTTTTATCCCATTTAGTATTTTGATATTTTTTTTATCAAATACGGTGACATTATATTGTTAAGAATTCAAGATTTCTCCCATATTTTTTTCATGGGTTATTGTTATACGTACAAAAACTAATCACTCAATTAAGCATTTCCTATCATGTTGAACATTATAGACATCCTTGGACAAACTCTAACCCCCGGCACCTGAATTAACGACTAAGGGTCCGTTTGAAAAGTAGGAAAATGACTTCTGGAAAATGAGTCATTTTTCATAAAACATTTTCCTTTTCAATATTTGGTTGCATTTTGGAAAACTTGATGTGTTTAGTTTATTTTCAAGAAAAATGAGTAGAATTGTATGTTTAAACACTTTGACATAAAATGACTTCCCTCAAATTTTGACAGAAGTCATTTTCCGCCAAAATGGCTCCATTTTTCCCAGTTAATGAAAAATGTTTTCTGTTGACTGGATTTTGCAGAAGTCATTTTCCAAGTTTCCAAACGGATCATAAATCGAGTAACAACTACATGCATAAACATATTTAATCCGGTTCAATTAAAAATCAATAATGGGATATATATTTCAAAATAGTCCAATTAAGGATTGTATTAACTTAGAAGTAACTCTTCAAGAGAAGTGAGGATTATATATAGAAGCAAAGGGACTAATCATCAACAACTAACAAATCGCTACAAAAGTTGCATCATGAAGTTAGTCTTTTCTCTTTCTTTCTTTCTATACTTTATTTGCATGGAGTATAATATAATGTAACTTTTCTTGCACAAGTATTATATATATATGCTCTAATATGATGTTTGTTTAGTGAGAAGCTAATTAAGTGATAATAACCCAATTGCTGGCTGACTTTTAACATGCCATCTTCACATGGCAAGTCTGCTGTAATTGGAGGCTGTAAATCACTTCTACTTTGCTGTCCTCTTCTTGTTTTCTTCACTCTTGCATTGCTGCTTCCAATAGGGATTTGGACTAATTATTGCCCATCATCTTCTTCTTCTTCTTTAAGATTGTTCTTAAGTTCTTTATATTATTCATCTTCATTAGATAATGAATCAAGATCAGAGCTTGAGAGTAGGAATGATTCCAATTCCCCCACCAATCTAAGCCATTTGGTGTTTGGGCTTTTGGGGTCGGAGAAAGCGTGGCACCACCGGAGAGCCTACGTAGAGTCGTGGTGGCGGCCCAACGCCACGGTAGGGTTCCTCCAGTTGGATAAACCCCCCGGGGCAGAGCTCCTGCCGTGGCCTCCCAGCTCACCTCCTTATCGGGTGTCTGACAATGTAAGTCGGGTGGTGGAAGAAACCAACCATGTGAATCCCCGTGTGGCCCGAATGGTCCACGGGATCATGGAGACAGTCAGGGATGCGCCTCAACGGGCTACAGGGACGTTGAGGTGGGTCGTTATGGGGGACGATGACACAATATTTTTGGTGGATAATTTGGTGGATGTTCTTGCTCAATATGACCACACTAAGTACTACTATCTTGGGGGGCATTCTGAGTTCATTCATGCAAATAATTACTTCTCCTTCAAGCAGGCCTTTGGGGGAGGTGGAATTGTGTTGAGCTTTCCTTTGGCCATGGCCATGGCGGATGGCATCATGGATTGCCTCAAGAGGTATTCTCACCTCAATAGTGCTGATAAAACTACTGGCTATTGCATTGCTGATCTTGGGGTTAATCTGTCTCCTCACCAAGGTTTTCACCAGGTATATATGTGCATTCTAGCTATCTCCGCACTTTTGAAAAATGATCCAAATGGCCCCTTAAGTCAACTGGATAATGCAATTGGGTTTTCTAAGTAAAAAAGAAAAAAAAAAGTTTCATTCAAGTCCCCAAAATTGATAAAATTGTTCAAATAAGTCTAAATTAATTTGTTTATCAGGTTAAATATATACGTTGTTGACACGTGTATTTTTTATTTTAATTTTTTAATAAATTTTTTATTTATTAAAAATTAAAAATATTATTAAAAAAAAAAAAAAAAAAAAAACAGCCACCTGTTCTCCACGCCGGACAATTGGTGGCTATCTTCTTCATGGACAGTTGTAGCTGTCCAGCGAGGATAGCCATGACCGTGTAAGGACCAACTTCTAGATCTGGAACAAGGGCGATAGCAATGATCGCTGCCCTCGTTCCAGACGACCATGACTGTCTAGCCATGGCCATGGTCGTCTTCCTCGTCGGTCGTGGTTGTCCTCGCCGGACAACCACAACCATCGCTATTCTTTTAATAATATTTTTAATATTTAATATATAAAAAGATCTGTTTAAAACATAAAATATAAAGAATTGTTTAAAACATAAAATAAAAATGACACGTGTCAACACCGCATAGATTTAACTTACTAATTGAATAATTTTACCGGTTGAGGAGATTTAAATGATTGTTTTTTTTTTTATTTATTTAGGGATCCAATTACACTATGTAGTTGACTTATGGGTAGTTTGACCCTTATACCCACTTGAAATAAATTACTTCCTGGTACAACTTATTTATCAAATATTTTTCTACAATCCACTAATATTATCAACTATTCAAATCCAATAACCCAATCAGCTAACATCTATCAACTAACAACTCATAATCTTATCCGCTCACAGCTATTTAAACTATTCAACTAACCCCCTATAATCCTATTATATTACAGATTGATATGCATGGGGACATATCGGGATTCTTATCATACCACCCAAACGCGCCCTTAATATCCCTTCACCACTTTGACATGGTGAACCCAATCTTCCCCTCCATGAACAGAGCCGAATCGGCCCGACATTTCATGGCCGCCGCGAACTCCGACCAACCTCGGATGTTGCAGCAGCTGCTCTGCTTCCACCGGCCCAGAAACTGGTCGTTCTCCGTCGCCTGGGGATATTCCGCCAACATTTACGAGAAGATCATGCCGAGGAGCTATCTGCAGAACCCCATCGAAACTTTTCAGACATGGGGGCCCAGTCCCCGGCCGCCGAACTGGATTTTCGATGTCCGCAAACGTACGACGACGGACCCGTGTCTTGTCCCTCACGCTTTCTTTCTTGAGTCGGTGGAGGAGGTGACTGCGCGGGATGAGATTGTGGCGACGTACCGGCGGTCGTGGCGGCGAGGGTTGCCAGCTTGCTTCGCCGGAGACGGCGACCAGTCGGCTGACCGGATTTCCAAGATTGTAGTATACTCACCCGTGACAAAGCCCGCAAAGGTATGTTTTATATTGCCGGAGGCTTTATGCATTAGGCCTTTACTTTTACATTCTTATTGCTTTGCATCTTTTTTTTTTTTTTTTTTTTTTTTTTTTTTTTTCATTTTTCTTAAAGAAAATATTAATGAATTAAACGATAAAATATTAATATTTGAAGATTAAAAAATAAAGAATTAATTTCATTTTTTGTCCTAGATTTATAGGTGATAGTTCACTTTTAGTCATTTTTTATCGGAACATACACATTTGGTCCAAGTATTAATGTGGCATGTCCATTTTTGTCATCCGTCAACGTTAAAAAAAAAATCATTGAAATATCATTAAATACAAAGAAATTTCAATCATGTAAGTTGACCCCGCTATATTTTTATGCTTATTTTTTTTAAAAAAAAAAAATCTGTAATTGAAGACCGAAATATTTTTGTAGTTAACATCATTAAAACTGTTTTGTAGATTGAAGACAAAAAATTGCCATGTCACAATAATACTATGACCAAATGTTGATGTTCTGATTAAAAAGTACTAAAAGTTGGTTATCACCTATAAATGTAGGACCAAAAATGGAATTAATTCAAAAATAAACAAATAAAATATATTATAATAAAATGGGAAAAGGATCAAATATGCTCATTAACTTTACTCAAAAAGTCAATTAGGTCCTTAAACTTTCAAAAATTGTAATTAAATCCATAAATATGTTATTTTGATACTGAAACCCAAAAACCGGCCAGTGACCTATAATTACATGTTACCTAGGGTTTCGACGACCCTTCCACCATTTTTCAACAACAATCACTGACAACCGTCCGGTCGCCGATCGTGTTTGGAGGAAGCGACCAGTTGGTTTGCCTTCTCCTTCCGCGACCGGTGACCGTCAAGTCACCAGTGATTGTTGTAGGAAAATAGTGAAAGAGTCACCGAAACCTTAGGTAACCTGTAATTATAGGTCACTAATCAATTTATGTGCTTTAATGCTTCAAAATAATATGCTTATGAATTTAATTATAATTTTTAAAAATTTTAGAGTTTAATTGACTGTTTAAAATTTATTTACCATTTCATTTGCATCCATATAATTTCAATTCATTTTTAACAACAACAAAACAACAAAATAATTTTTTTTTTAAAGATTGAAAGATGGTAATTAAATTTATGGGATTGTTTGTGATCGGACTTATCATTCAATGTGGGCCTTTAACCTACCATAAAACAATTATGGAAAATCAATTACAGTTTAAATGTAATGAAGACTAAAATTAGGATTAGGAACGACAATGCAGCAATTCTCAAATTAAAATTACTTCTTAAAGGGTAATTTGCCAATCGCATATGTAACCATAATCAATTAATTTTATTGACTTTTTAAAATTTTCAAACTCCAGTATTAATAAGTCATTAATAGCCTATATATCATTAATTTCAAAGAATTCCAATTCTTTTTTTTTTTTTTTAAAGAAAAAGAATTCCAATTCTTATTCACTATCAAACAAAAAGTCTACTTTTAGTCCTTGGCCGAGTAGATGGAACATTATTCTTGTACCATAAGGTCGAAACTTTGATTCTTGCCAATACCCTTTCGGTCAAACTTACACACAGAATCTTCCAAGTGCAGTGTACATCTCCTATATAGTTTGCAAGTTTTTATACAAGAGCGAGATTTACACAAAGCCCACCCTTAAATAATATATAATTGTGTGTTTCTCTGGTCATCCAAAAAATAAGTATTAAACTTCTTCCATTTATCAAATATTTGATTCTGATTCTATAGTTGACTCCAATATTCCAACCAATTAACCTCCCCCATCAATTTTATTTATTTGTTTATTATATATATATTTATTTTTTTCATCAGATTGGTAGAAGTGAATGCTGTGATGTAACGATTGATAGTGTTGACTCCGAAAGCGCCGTCATCAAAACTAGAAGATGCATGGCAGATGACATCATTGCTTGATTCTTCAGGCATGCGATTATGTATCATATGTTTCTTATGTAAATAGGACATCATTCTACAATTATGTATCAACTAATATCATGTTTTAAGAGATTAATATTTACTAAATAAAAATAATAAAAGACAATATTGTTAGGGTTATAATGGGAATAAAATTGCAATAGCTTAGTATAATAGATTGCATTAAAGATAGGGGTGGAAATAAGTCGAGTGTGTTGGGTAATATGGTTGAAAAATTCAAAAAATAATAATCCTATGAAAAGATTAATATTATATGGGAAAACAGAAAAATTGGGAAGGAAAAGATGGAGTGTTTGGGTATAGGTTTAGCACGAGTTCGAACACGAAGTTCTTTTCCTTAAAACCTTATTTTCTACCTCCCACAAGTGCTAGGAGCGTTGTAGCCTAGGTTTCCCAGGATAAAACGTGCTACGATTCCTTGTTTGAGCACCTACACAAGGAACCCGGCAAACAAAGCAAAGCAGTGAACACTAGTTGGTAAAGAAGAGAGTAAAAGCAGAGTTTTGAGTTTGAGCACCTACACAAGGAACCCGGCAAACAAAGCAAAGCAGTGAACACTAGTTGGTAAAGAAGAGAGTAAAAGCAGAGTTTTGAGAAGCTGAAAGCTACTGGAATTCCTTTGTTTCTCACTGTGTAAAATGCCGCTCTACCTCTCTGTGGAATTCCTTTGTTTCTCACTGTGTAAAATGCCGCTCTACCTCTCTGTAACAGATGAGTTTCAGACCGTTACACGAGAGCATGAGGACCAGCAACACAGAGCACCACAACCTCTCCTCTCGTGCTCTTTGTAGAACGAGAGTAGGTCCTCTCGGTTCGGTTTCCTCTCGTGCTCTTTGTAGAACGAGAGTAGGTCCTCTCGGTTCGGTTTTGGCATAACTTATGCCCGCAAGGCCAGCCAATTTTCGGACGACATTCGTGCCCGCAGGTGCCGGCGCACGCGAGCTCGGGCTTAAATCAAGCCTTTTCGATCTCCTCTAGTTGGATTTTGATTTGCCCCCCCCCCCCCCCCCCCCCCCCGGCGCGAGAGAGTCTCTATGCTATACAATTCTACAAGCTTCAAAAGAGCTCATGTATATAAGAGGGGCAAATCTTGTTTCCAAACCAATGTGGGACAAAGTCCACTATTTTCCCTTCATTTCCCAACTCAAATGGGTCTACTTTGAGAATCAATATCTCATTCACCCATTATCCGTTTTGAGCGTACAATATATCAATCTCTTCGTCTTACTACGAAGAATCCGAATCCACTTTGACCCGGCCCATATCGGAAGTGGACCCCACTGATAATTGTACCACAAAATAGCCACTTAATATGTCATTTTATGCCATTTTAAGCTAATTTTTTCCAACAGAGTCGAGCCATAACCAGCAATTATATCGTGGACAATGGTCCAAAAATGGCGCCGTTTCTTGAAGTAAAGAAACGGCTGGTGTTACAGCTTAACGGGGCCCGTATTTTTGGTGTGTTAATTACAAAATGAAACTATAATGTATCTAAAATGAAACTGTCTCACATATTGTTTTTATATTATCATATGAAACTGTATTTGAATTGAAATGAAACTGTAGTTGTGGTGAAATGGAACTGCAGTGTATATAAAATGAAACTGAATAACAGTTCACATATTTGAGTGCTATTGTCCTGTGAAATTGTAGTTATATCGAAATGATACTGTAGTTGTGTTGTAATGAAACTATAGTGTATATAAAATGAAATTGAATAACTGTTTCACATATTTGAGTGTATAATGTCGAATGAAACTATAGTTATATTGAAATGAAACTGTAGTACAGTTGTGTTGAAATGAAACTGCAGTGTATATAAAATGAAACTGAATAACAGTTTCATATATTTGAGCGTACATTATCCAATGAAACTGTAACTATATCGAAATGATAATGTAATTGCATTATAATGAGACTATAGTGTATATAAAATGTAACTGAATAACAGTTTCACATATTTGAATATATAATGTCGAATGAAAATTAGTTATATCCAAATGAAACTGTAATTGTGTTGAAATGAAATTGTAGTGTATATAAAATAGAACTGAATATGTTACACAAACAGAGACACATAGTTACTTTATTGCATAATGGCGGGAACGGGTGCCCTTTTCTTTTCATTAAAAGAAACGACACGGTTTGATGCTTGTACCACAATGTATTGTGGACCGCGATCCACAGTAAAATTTGTCAAGTCATAACTAAGTAGGCCAAGCCATAGGCCCTTTTGTAAGGGTTTGACCTATTCTCACCCCTAATTAAAGACTTGTTCTTTATATAATCTCTTTCTTATACTAATACAAATAGTTCCAATGTTACCCTTCATCTTTTAAGTTTTTCCTTAACATAGTTAAATCTCATTGTTAAGTCATAATTCATTGGAACTAAAACTATGTTAATGTAATTGACTGCATTGATAACTTATATATACATTGATATTTCTTTATTGTACGCTTAAAAAACTCCATAATTTTATCATTTTCTTCTTAGTTTTGCATACAACATTTCAATCATAAAGATTTGTTACTTTTTAAACAGCATTTTTATTGGTTTTGTTGAAAATTATTTTCTAATTTTACTTTTTAACTGCATAATTTTTTATAGCATTGGTATATATAAAATTTTTAGCTCATATCTTGTGATGGTTAAACAACAAATTTAGTATTTTATCTTTTATTTCTTTGAGTTTCAACAAAATGAAGCAATTCATTATTCAACTACACATAATTATATAAGAAAAAAATGCAATTTTAGATCATCGATTGTTCATTGTTAACCATTTAGTCATTAACTTTTTACGATTGTATTATATTTTCCTAACTCTTCAAAAAGATTACAGTTTTGGCCCATAAAGCAAAAAAATTAATAAATTCTATTAAATTTTTATTTAGTACATACTTCGTAGTCCGTACTTCCGTAGTATTTTAGTATGTACTTTTTAATGTTTATTTTTTAATTAGGAATAAATATCAAATACACAATAATGCAATTAGGTCACTGAACCTAAAAAAATAACAATTAGGTCCCTAAACTAACCAATTTCATTCAATTGGTCTAATTTACAGATTTTGCAGGTTAGTTGGTCACCCAAAATTTAAAATATATTTTTTTAAATTATTACTTTAAAAAGAGAAGGAGAGTCTCTTTTAAATTTAAGTAATAATTTAAAAAAAAATATTTTAAATTTTGGGTGACCTATTACTAACCTGCAAAACTTGTAAATTGACTTAATTGCATGACATTGGTTAGTTTAGGGATTCAATTGTTGTTTTTTAAGTTCAGTGGTCTAATTTTATTATTGTGTGCAGATCGATGGCCTATTTGACCTTTATTCCTTTTAATTATAATTTTCTTTAATCTCGATATTTCATTTGTAAATTTTTTTAACAAGTTTATGTAGAAGCCAAAGACCTTACATAGTTGTGGCTCTCCCAAATGAGATGTCACAGGTTCCAACCACAGTGAAGCATTGATTTTCTGTATTTCAATAGGTTAAGAAAGTATGTGTGGACAAATACTATATTGTAATAGAGACACTAATACGATTAAATACCAACACGGAAAAAGTCATAATTAATAAAGATAATAAAATTAGAAAATACACATGTACTAATGATAAAAGATAGAGACTAAAACAACTAGCAAGAAACATTTGAGAGACTAAAAATTCATTTTTTTTTTCAATTATTCATTTATTTATGATTGATGAGGATATTAATTAATTAATATAGGCTATAGTGTCATCTCGCACCATGGACTATATAAGACTATTCATGCCGCACTATGACCTTTCATAACATATATTTTGATTCACAAATCATTAATTTTTTTTTTTTTTTTGCCTATAACTTTTTACAGATTTCCCATTTTCCCTGATTACATGGCATCGATATTTAGTTGATGTGGACTAATCTCTCAAACATGGCAACAAAGCTTCGTGTAATGCTATATGAGTTGGTGCGTCTAGTGGACGCTCAACTCTAACATCGTCGGTTCATCCCACCAGAATCGTTTCTCGCTGCTATTACTACACTAGCGGGTGTAGTTCACGGCGGCGTTGGTAGCGGGGCATTCACAGGCGTCAATCTCGAAGCCGGTGTAGGAGGCAATGAACGGTGCATGGCTCCCGTCGGTCTTAACCCAATGTCATATCTTTCAGTAACATGATACACACATGTCATGTTTAAATTTTTTTTTTTTAAAAAAAAAAAAAAAAAAAAAAAAGTGATGGATACCCAATATTTGGGCCTAGTTGGACCGCCTAGCCCCGATTAGCCCACCTAAACTCAAATTAAACTAGTCCTTAACCTCTACTAAATGTCCAAATTATTACCACATATTAATCTCCTAATTATTAGCTCTCAATTCCTAACCCCCCATTATCCACCCATAAAGTCCTATTAAGTACCTATTTACTACCCATAAATTCCCTATTAATTACCCAAGGGCTATAATCCCATCCTACTACTATAAAATAAGGTTCAAGAGCACAAGAAAGGGGGCTCATCCATTCTTACACACTAAAAAACCACCCACTATTTTTTCATCCCGACTCCATCACTCTCCCAAAGGGGAAGAACTCTCTCATACGCTAAGGAGACTCCCAAAGAAGACTCCATTTTGGCAACAAGAGAAGGCTCCATCACTCTTCCTGATTAGAAGGCCAGGTACATTCTGATGAAAAGACTCTACCACTCTTCCACGCATGCAGAAGACTCCCTCTCAGTGTACAAAGTAGTTCTATCTCTACACAATATTTCTATATACAAAATAGCCATACAACTTGTACAAGCAATCCTACAGAATAGTGAATTTAGGGTTGACACGTCCCAAAAAGGCCTGTGATTTTCACCTTTCGATTTCCACGTAAAAAATCATTGTGTCTAATTTCTTAGGATTCATAGCCTTATTTTGAAAGGTGAATCCCATAATCACGGTTGTGTTGGACCTTTCTGGGCCCAAAAACTCTAAAAAAAAAAAAACAAAAAGGTTGTTTGATATCTTGAAGATGCGTGCGATTTAATCTATGAGATTGGATCCATAACCCCCTCGTGTTAAAAAGTTCTT